AACGGAACCCTCGGTTTTCGTAATAACTTTTGAATGAAGGCATAAAATTTGACCAAATTTAGCACATACCGGGTACTTGGTTCTTGCAAAGATCTAAAAGTGTAGTATGAGGTTTAGTCTATAAAAACAAAAAATTTGATGGGAGATTTTCAAAACAACCTCGAAATGCAAAATTAGCTTATGCTCAAATCAATTCAGATCCTGTTCTATTTTTCTCTTGAAACCTTCGATACACCAGTAATCTGTGTTTGGATCTACTTCAGATATTTTCTTTTTTAAAACCAGTATGGTATTGTTTTACCATTAAGTCAAATCGTAAAATACAGAACATTTTTTTTCAATTTGTGAACAATAGTAATAATAATACAGATCATTTCTATAGCGCCCACTCACGTGTGAACGCAGCCTAAGGCATTTTACATAACGGAGTGTCTACGTACACAGTAACCGGGCACCTAACCTCAGTGTCTACGTACACAGTAACCGGCAACCGGTGGCACGTACACGGTAACCGGGCAGTTCAGAACTCCAAGTTCAGTTTTTGTCATCCGGTGTTGCCTTCAACCCTAGCCCTCTCCCGACTGGTACTTAAAAAAAATAAATCAATAATCCCCCAATTCCGGAGCCCTATACTTCGCAGCGCACAAACTTTGAATGACCTTTGGTGGCCCCAACCGGTACTCATAATGTGATGCGAAAGCACAGGTTCACTGACCGGTCACGATGGCGAGCCCGACAAGACGCTTGTACTTGTACATGTATGACTTTCTTTTTTTTTTACAACAAGTGACAGCACAGGACAAATTATTGATTTATTTTCAATCCGGTTACTGTGTACGTAGATATTGAGACTAGGTGCCCGATTACCGCTGTGTGTGTAGACACATGCACCATGTACGATTACGAACAATATTCACATGCGCGCGCACACACACACACACGCGTGCACACACACACACACACACACACACACACACACACACACACTCACGTACACCTTACACGCGCACACACATGCACATTACACACACGCACACACCTACTTTCTAGCACACGCGCACGCTTACACACATTAGATCTATAGATAGTATCTTTGGTCTCAGTTTGTGTTGTATAATGTATTCCGGCCTGAAGTTCCGGTTATAGCTTTTAGAGTACGCCCAGTAGGTTAGAGCTGGGCCGAAACCATACGTAGACCTATCGGTTCTTTACTCGCACCATTTCGTATTAAAAATTCTGTTAAAATTAAAATGTTGATGTATTTTTTGCCTAAAATTGCAAGAAATTGCGAAAATTGCAAAAAATTGCCGGTTTATTGCAGAACTCGACGAAAAATGCGGCCGCAAGACCACGATTTCCTGGCGGGGGCCAGGGAATGGGAGTATGTAAAAACTGGAGCAGATGTTGAAACTTATCAAGGCAACACTGACTCCCGTGACAAGTTGAGGGGGAGGCTGAGACTGAGAAGCTGAAAGTTGGTGCTTTCCACCTTGTCATGTGGAATGGGAAAAATTATGTAGCCCAGATTGTTGCCCTTGATGGAGACTGGGTTCAACTCAGCTTCATGAAGTGGCATGTTGGGAAACTTCGCTGGGGTCAAGAACACTTGTCATGGGAGGACAGACTTGCTATGTTGGGGAAACTGAGCTTAAAATGGATGGGGGCAGTAGGACTCAAAGGAATCAGTTGTACACATACACGGTCAAAATGTCATTTTAAATGTTGTCATATATTTTTGTTTAAATGTATTCTTTTTTTCCATATCATGTGTATATGTGTGCCTTTAGTCTTATTTCTGTCTCGACTGATGTTAACATTACTTTAGTCGGTTTTGTATAGCCAAAAATAGCATGTACATCTATGTACTATGTAGATGCCATTATTAAAAATATATATTAAGGGCTTGTGAATGTGAATTAGCTAGGAAATATACATGCTTATATATTATGAGGAAAGTCTCTTAACCCTATCCGTACGCCCTGGGGTCATTTTGTACCCCCGAGGTTGTATTCTTCACATTTTAAAATACTTCTAGCACGAAGATCTCTTTGAAACTTTCAGTATTTCTCAAAAAATCATTTTGATTTTGACAGACTGCTATGCAAAAGGTACGGATCGGATAAACAAGTAAATTTCCTCTCTGAAAGTGGTAACACAGAGTTCCCCACGTCGTATGGATACGATAGTAAAACACGACGTACGGATAGGGTTATTGACAATCATTTTATATAAAAGACAGATGAGTGTTAATTGTTTTGGTTCAGTTTGTTTTCATCCGTTATGAATGGACCATCAATTATTTTTTCAGAGATTTTCAAAGGTAAATAAGCTTTCAATTTATGTACATATTCATATTTATGAGGAATCTTTCATTTATGAAAAGCAATTATGTAAATAACAGACTAGTTATGCCAAATTTAGGGTCCAAACTGGAGTTTGTCATATATAATGGTTATGAACAAACCTGTTATGTATCACAACATACTCTATGACTAGTTTTTTTTAAAAAAATAGTTGTTTAATGGCCTTCATATAATCATTTGCTCACGTTCAGACCATATTATTTTTTTGTTATTTTTATTCTTAAACACATTCCTTGTCTAAGAAACATAACTTATTGGATGACTTATTGTAGCATGTTGTTCGTTCATAACCATTATGACATTAAAATGTCATTTGATCTATATTAAGTATGGCTTTTTATGTTTTGTTATTCCTATATGTGTTTTTAAACGTTGTTTGCTATATTTCAAAATAAAACTGCAACCTGGTTGAGAAAAGTGCATTTTTTATTCATGTATTTATGTCATCGTTGTTATGAACATACTTTTCACTATTAGTATTATCATCACTTACGCCAGCAAAACTAGAAAAGCGTTGTATATGCAGCTTTGATAGTTACTGAACCTGTAAGAGCAATCATTAGGCTATATAAAATAGATATTTAAAGAGTTGTTTCATAAAGTTGATATTGAACCTCATTCGTCACACCTGGGTCTCCCACCTTTTGGCAAAGGCTCAGTAATAATTTATAGTAGTTTAGTAGTAGCCTAGGCCTAGTCTTGTCTAGTCTTTGCTCTTAATCAGCGCCCTTCCCAGAGGTGCGACCTTTGTCTACTGATAAGACCAATTTCTTACAGCTAGCGTTCCCCACGCAGCGTCAGGAGGGCTTCTAGGGTAGGGCTACTCAGCTGTCAGAATGTGTGACATGTGTGTTTTTGCTATGAATTGATGAATACCGTGGGGGTGTGTTAATCAGTAATGGAAATGATGCCCTATCTTTTATAGCATACTCAAGCTTTCTATAAATAAATGTTATGAATGCTTAGATAAATAACCCCCTCTCATAAGTTGACAAGTCAGTACGAGTGAGTGGTTATGCCCAACATTGTAGATGCTATACAGTACAGTATTAGTATTATTGTTGTTAATGTTACAAACAATCTGGTGTTCTAAAGGAAAAAATATAGGTCAATTAAATATGTTTTGCTCTCAAATTTTTTCTTACTTGCTGCACAATGGTTTTCAAAACCATCAAAGGGGGCTCTTGCGGTATAGGGGTTCTGGTGTTCGCCTCTCTTTCAATAGGTCCTGGGTTTGAAAGCTGACAGCAGCGGAAAATTTTCTTCTCTAAATTTGTCTCCTTTGACCTCTTTTCCTGCTCTCTAACCATGTACTGTTGTCTGCTTTTGTCTCCACTTTCTTCTCCACCCCCCTCACCCTTTGCCCCTGCCTCTGGGCTTCTGGTTCTTTCTGCAGCCTGTCTACTGTTACTCCTTGGCACCTTCTTACTGCTGTCTTTTAGCCACACCCCTGATCTTAAGGAAGGTCAAACACATAGCCTTCTCAGATAAGGATGAAAATTCTCGGAGTGCAAGTTGCGCACATTAAAGATCCCTTGGTGGTCCAAAATCAATCGGACGCCACCTGGGCAAAATTCAAAATTAATTCCTCCTGCCAAACTGAAAATGTTTAATGTGTATTGCGCACTGATCTGACCGTATCAGTTTTGAGCACCGTGAAACACTTAACAAAAACAAAAAAATCATCGAATAGAATTATTTTGATCAGGTAATGTCATTTTATGAAAATCAAGTGCCTTTGAAAGATGTATTTAAAACTGAAAAGTGGAAGTCTTGTTTCCTGGTTATCCTTTCGAGCTAAGTGGGTCAGATTGTTCAAATTTCATTGAAGGAACATCTAGAGCTACCAACTTTATGTGTTTCGAACAAGATGTACGCCTTAGTATAGAACCAACACAGGTGGTTCTAGAAGTAGGTCACAAACATAAGCAGACTGACGAACATTCACTTCGGCTGCAGAAATATTAGTCCTGAGTGTGCTCTTTCAGAAAATCATAGTGAGCAAAAATCCCCAGGGGGGGGGGGGGGGGGGGGTTCCAGTAGCCCATAGTCTATATGGGACCCATGAGAAAGCGAGTGCTGAAATAAGGCTATCTGTGTGCATAAATATGGCCCAGAATTAATTCCAGTGCAAATTTACGTATTAGTTTTTAGATTAGATTTGCTGTTTTCATGTGAATCAATTTTGAACTATATTACTTGTAAAATATTGCAATAGACCTTTGTTGTACGTAGGTGGTAGCCTAATATTTCACAAAACTCTGTGGGGTTTTAGGGGAGCAGTCCCTCCTCTTCTAAATTCAGTCTGTGATTGACCAAGTTTTGATTCAATATGAATGAGACCAATGACCATAACTCCTGCCCAGAACAGAGCTAAATTATATCATAATCAGGGATGCTGTCAGTAACTTTTTATTTGGCTGACATCATTGACTGATGCCTCAATCTTTTCTATTGTTTTCTTAATTTTACAACAATTCCTTTCACTGAACTACAAAAAGTGATTTCAGGACATCTTCGGCCAGGTGTAAATATAAGAATGTAATATGTTGGCTGTTGTGTGTTTACAGAGAGCAAATTTATCTTGACAACAATTAGTTACGATAATTGCATACTACTTTTTACCTTTCATTTCAGGATTGGCACATTGTGAATTGAAAATGGATTCTTTTGAGGATAACACAGAATTGGTGAAGATGAAGAGGAAATTTGCTGCCTCACACGACGAAGACGACACATTTAATTTCAGCAAAACGCGCCATAATCTTCTCCGTGATTTTGATGAAACCCCTGCCAAAGTGAGAAAAGCTTCTGAAATGACAACTAAAGGTCCACTCTTCGGCAGTAAACCGAAAGGTAATTTTTATCTCATAATGTTACTGTGTTGGTTAATATTATTATATTATAAGTGGCTTTGTATTCCTAGAAGTAATATTATTACTATTAACTGTGAAAGTTTATTACTGAAGATGCCGATTAATGTCAAGTTCATTTCAAACTTATGTGGATACCATTTCCCTTGCTCCACAGGACTATTTTCCTGTTGCTAGATGTTGCCTTCTGTCAATTTTGTTCTTTATGTGTATATAATCATTTGCTGTTTTTCTATACTCTTGACATTCTTATTCTGTCTTTTATCTGTTTGATATTACTCTGCTATCTTTCAGATAGTTTTCTTAGTGATTTTCCTGTTCTAGCTATTGATCAATATGCTTTGTCCATTCATTTTTTTGTAATAAAGTGAAAGTTCTGTTTAAGAAGAAAAGGGGACTTTAAAGCAAACAAGGATCTTAGCTGCAACTACTGTATTATTTTGATCTGTTCCTGGTGAAATGTGTTATCCTGTTTACATGGACTCAAGAACATGTGGACCCAAGAACATGTACCGGTTTCTTTTATTTCATTATTTTGATGAGCCCCTGATTTCTCCATGACTTTACATTTGTCTTTTTTTTTTCAAAAAGCTACTCCATATATATGTCTGGACTGGAAGTCATTTTACTATCTGTTGTCATTTCAGTTCAGTGTATTATTTGGCCAGGTACTTAATATCTGTGGTCCTCCTTCTTTTCTTTTTATGTGGTGTCGGTGGCCTAGTGGTTAGGCCACCGGACTTGTAATCGTGAGGTTGCGGGTTCGGGGGTTTGAGCCGCGGGCCTGACGTTATGTCCTTGGGAAAGGCACTTTACACGAATTTTCCTCCCTTCACCCAGGTGGGAATAGGTACCCAGCTATAGACAGTGAAAGATCTTGTTAGTATGTTAGTGTTTTAGCCCCTGTATGGCAACTTGCACTTTATACTTCCCAGGAAGTTGAGGTTGTTTCAGAATGCTCTCAGATCTGGTGGGGTAATTGTATAGATTGGGAAGAGCATAGAGCTTGCTGTTGAGAGGGGATTTACACAATACGAATGCTATCTATTTTTATTATTTTATGTTACTCTCTGGCAACTGCTCTATTTTCGGCACTTATATGACATATTTTTGTATTGCTAGCGCTGTACATTTTTTACTAAAACTGAAGAAAAACAACAACTTTGGGCTTGCTACATTATCAATGTAAGTGTATATTTTTGTATTTATTTTGTTTGATTCAGCATGGTAAAATTGATTTTTAAATTGGGTTGTTTGCCCTTTTCCATAGATTTTGCTGTAGCAAGAAAAGAAGCGAGTTTGATGGAAGCAGAGATCATTACCTTGAAAACCTCAATCACTCAGCTGCAAGATCGTCTCTCTTCCTCTGAAACTGTTTCACGTCAATCTCAGATTGATCACGAAAAGGAAATTGCGAAGTTCAGAGCTGAAAAAGAGGTTAGTTGCAATGTTCATAGATAAAAATTCAGGATTTACATGTGAAAAAAAAAGTATTCTCCTTAAACAAGATTTCAACCAGGAAACAAAATCAACTTGATCCAAAAAGAGAAGGAGTAAAGCAGAAAAGGAATAAAGAGGATTTGAGTGAGATGTATTGTTGGCTATACACAATCATTAATTAAATAGAAAACTCTTATTATTTTTCTACTCGTTCTTTTAAAAAAATGCTTTTGGTTTCTGTATTGTACAACTGAGTCATTAGAGGCATTGGAAAATACATATGAACAGCGGTGTTTGGTTGTGGTATTGTGTGGCGTGATGTAGCATTGTACTAACTGTACACTATATGATTTTTGTTAGGCTTGAAAGCTTTGCTTGCAGATTGAATTGAAGTGTAATAACTGGATCACTTTCATTTGTCATCTGTAACAATCAGAGAGATGCTAATAAAGTGAGTGAGCTTCACTCGAAACTGCAGTATGTCATGGAAAAAGAGAGAAACGCCAGAGAGACGCTTAACAGCCTGGAGAAAGACCTGTCAAGTCAGAAATGGGAAATGGATAAGAAGATTTCTGCTGCTCAGAAAGAGAAAAGAAGTGCAGAGGATAAAGCTCAGGCGGTAAGAGAAAGCCTTTCGTGTAGAGGATTTTTTCAGTCCAACATGCATGTAGCGAAATCGATGTGATGTGGAAATCTTTTCTGTATGTACGAATTTTGCAATGAAGTTTTAAATACAAAGAATATACATGTGTAATAAAAAATTCGGCATCTGAAAATCTGTTTGCTGTGTGCCTGTTAGACTATATTTTTAGTTTCTAGCACTATCAAAATGAGATTGTACAAACTGGTGCATCAACTCTACGCAATGATTAAAAAAAAATTTTTTTTAAATGTCAGTACAAGGAGCCGATAAAATGAAAGCCCTTCTAGCTACATTACTATTATGTTTAATTTGATTTTAAGTCGTGGCTACATAATAATTCGTTTTGTGTTTTGAGGCTGCCTCACTGTCATTGCATTTTGATAGGAGGAATGGAGTGAAAAAGATTTGGAAAAAGAGATCTCAAATTTCTTTGAAGACTTTAAGTTACTTTAACATATATAGACAATGGACAACAGCATTAGTAACATGAAATTTATGTGAGCTTCATATGTCACAGCAGATTGGTGGACCTTGATTGTAGATCTCAGAATCATACGAGTCACCAACATTAAAAGATCTTTGAATCATACTAATCACCAACATTAAAAGGAGGAGAGTAGGAAATATGGGGATTTTTCTTTTGAGGGGTCACTCTACATTTTATCTCATGACAAATTAATTTTGTTTTAATCAGTTTTGCCTGCTTGTGAAAATTATATGAACTTGTTTTTTTTTCTTTGCCTGATTTTAGCAAAAACAAAAATGGCACGAGGCTGAGTCAAACCTCCATGACCAAATTATTCAGCAAAAGAAAGAAATCATCAAACTTCAGAGTATGTATGGTGAGGCACAAGCTCAGCTTTCCTTAAGAGAAAGACGTGATACAAGCAACACTGTGCATCTCTCAGAGGTGGATGATTTGAAGAAACAGCTGAAAGCTGCCCAGGAAAAAGTAAAGGTATGTCGCAATGTGACTTTTGTTCCACAATAGCAGTGAAAATTAATAGCTTGTTTCGTTTTTTGAAGTGCAATGTGCACTTTTAATGGCTATATCTACTGTAATTCTTCTGCTCTTGCTTATGTTTTAAAATTTAAAAGCTTGTACCCCTTATGAATTCGCTTGTTCTTGGAGGTGATTATGATTTTCTATTCATTTTTTAATGGTTAAATTGGAGAAACTTGAAATGGAACATGATTCAGTGGGTTCATTTTGCTCATTATAACTCTTGGAACAATCACTGATTGTAAAGAGATGAATATTAATGACATTTAATAATTTAATAGGGAAAGATCAGGATGGAAAAAAGAGTATTGTTCTTTTTTTACCTTTTGTTTATATTCATTTTAAGTGGTAACTGATATTTTCTTGTGTTGTTGAAGACCCGTCTTCTGGACTTTGTCATGTACTACTAGATAATGTAACTCAATAAAATGCATGACACATTTTATTGTCAAGGTTATTTATTTCCCCCCTCAAGGCCCTAGAAAGCCAGTTGGCAGAGCATGCTGACAATCTTGTGGTTACAAAAGCTCTGAAGGAAGACCTAGATCTTGTACCCAAAATGAAAAGTGACTTAGAGAAGTTGCGATTGGACAACGAGCAGCTAAGGTACCTTTTCTTAGAAATGTTTTTCTTCTATGATGCCTTTCTAGATTTCAAGGGTATTTGACCATACCACCGGTTTCTCTTTTTTGAAGCATCCACTCCAATTGGATTTGTTTTAGCTTTTCAGGCGACCTGATAATGCTGTCAAAGGTTCTTTTCTTAATAATTTATGTTGATAAAAGTTGCTGCAATTTTGGTTAAGAATTTATTTAGAAATATCTGGGCAAACCTGCTTTTCTTTAATGTGCACAATAAACATTCAGCTCTTCAGCATTTTATGTCATTGTTCAGAAAGACGATGTTGTAGATTCCACAGAGCCAGTTTAGAAAATAAAATAAAGTTCTGCTTATGTCATGATGTGGTTGATTTTGGGGCATGTAAAGTTTTTGGTATCATCTTAAAGCTTGCTCATTTGTCTTGCTTTTGATGAAAAAAATACCATTGATCTTGAACAAAAGTCAAGATATTTGCAATTGAAAGAGGTGGAGATCGTCCAGTTTCATAGGTAGGATTAGCAAAAAAATAGTCACCGAGGTATGGTGTCTTCCAAAGTTGAAGAGTGCTTGGAAACTGAAGATTAACTCTTTTTTTTTGGTGCCTTTACTCAATATTTTTTTTCAGCCAAATCTACATAGAAATGTGTTTGTAAATGGACATAAAATACAAAATGTGTTGAGCCAAAGAACAAAAATTCTATAAAAATTGCCGAACCGGTGGAAGAATGCAGATTTCTTCGATTTCATCATTTTGACGAGGGCCCGATTTTACCATGATGCTTTACATATATATAAAATTAACTTTCCAAAGTATTTTCCATTTGTATTTTATGAGTCTATAGCCAATTACTTTTACAAAATGTTCGAAAAGACCTAAGGCTTACCAAGAAATATATCGCTTTGAGAAGCTTACTGCGATATGTTTTTTTCAGTTGTTTGTTTTAGTTTGCCATGGTTGTTATTATTGAATACCTTTGGAAACCCATTCTGAAAATTGGTATTTCATCCAACAGGTATAATGAGCAAAACTGCTTGTTGCTTGAGGAAGAGGTACGGAGTTTGAAAAAAAAATTGGAACTTGCAGAAACAGAAAATAAGCGGATCGTTGAACTCGAGGTTACCAATGAGGTATGTCATAAATGGTGTCTGTCATATATGAAACTATCTAGGAAAACTTCACTTGGGTGGCTGTTTGGAGATCTGGGCATGGTTTGCTCCTTTTTTACCATCAAACTTATCTCTCCTCCTTTTCCTTGTATGGTACTTTCTGGCTAATCTTTGACACTATAAAATGACCTATTTGTATTGCAAGTGTTGTAAAGGCTACCTAAATTAAACTTTTAAAAAACCAACAACACTGTAGTTCATTTCATTGTGCTGGTTCTCTTGGTAAAACCTTCACTAGCTTTTAGTAAGCTCATTTACTGACATACATCTATTTTCTCTTTTTATTGAAGATCCACCTCATCCCACATTCAGTTACTTGTTCTTCCTGATTAATCTTTATTTCAATGTGTATTTGGAAGAAAGTAAGTTTCATTGGAATCCATGCAAATGTTCGTTATTTTTTTAACCCTTTGAGTAGGTACCAGAAACTAAATTTTCAAAGTAGTTGTATGCCAAATTTATCAGTTACATTTGAAAGGCCTATATCCACTG